TGTGTGTGTGTGCGTGTGTGTGTGTCTGTCTGTGTTTGAGAGAGAGAGTGTGTGTTTGTGTGTGTGTGTGTGTGTGTGTGTGTGTGTGTGTGTGTGTGTGTGTGTGTGTGTGTGTGTGTGTGTGTGTGTGTGTGTGTGTGTGTGTGTGTGTGTGTGTGTGTGTGTGTGTGTGTGTGTGTGTGTGAGTTAGTGTGTGTGTAGGGAGGCAAGCTGAGGACAAAGCCAGTGGTGATAATGAGGCCGCAGGGACATAGCCAGACAGGCCCCTCTGAGTATGCCTGTGAGTGTGAGTGTGTGTGTGTGTGTGTGTGTGTGTGTGTGTGTGTGTGTGTGTCAGGGACTCTGGGACCTCATCCGCTTTCTCCTGAGTCCACGACTCCAATATTGCAGTTGCTCAAACCTGCTAGCTTCCACTTCACACATCAATGGAGAAGAGCACACACACACACACACACACACACACACACACACACACACACACACACACACACACACACACACACACACACACACACACACACCTTTGGGGACTTAGTGATTCTGTGCTAAGCAGAGATGAAATTGGTCAATAGTGGTGAATCAATGTTTGAAAAACACCAGCCTAAAAGGACCAATGTAATGTGATGAAGCTAAACTAAAAATGACACACAAGCAAACACTCGTTTGAAAATAATATTAAAATATAAACAAATAAAACAAGTATTTTTGGCTCTTTCAAGTTTTAATCTTCAAGGACTATGATAATAAAGGGATTTGTGTAAGTTTATAATATAAAGAATTTTGGTTTGTAACTAGTAGGAATAGTAGCCAAATATTGATCTTTGCTCCGTAGACACATTTTCAGTTAGTACATGCAGCAGAAAGCCACAGAGCTGATCATCTATTCACATTTATTTGTAGTTAAGTAATAATACAAATATTGGCCATTTTGGCGCCTCCTCCATGAATTCTCCTTCTTTAAATGCTAGAATTTGAGAGAACGAGGTGAAGAGGCTGCCATTTAGTTTGTGGAGTTACTCAAAAAGCCAAAGTTTCAGTGATCGTACCTGCAGTGCGGAGCGGACAACAGCAGACAATTGTTTCAGGATGTTGTGAAGCAGTTCCAGAAGAGCTGGTAACACATGATGGCTGACCTTCCTCTCAGCATTCCCTTCTACGTCCAGGTGTATTAGTGCAGCCTCTGGGAAGGTGCTCACCACCACCTCTATCAGGCCTGCGCAGTAGAGGGAGAGTCATTGGGTAAAGTATTAAACAGATGTTTGGTTGTTGATACCAAAACGTATTATTTTACACTCTGGTGACAGTCTACACAGCAAAGTACTCATATAAATTGCAGAGGTAACATCATAACAGACCCTAAGCACATGATCGTGCTAGCAAAATACCCTTCCTGTTGGAAAACATTAAGCACTTTAGCTTCCTGTCCCTCCATTGTCATTATGATATATCATATTTAGAGATCAATCCCCTCAATAGGTAATTCATATGAGCTAAAGTGAAAGATTGTAACCCCCACTCTGCTTATACAATCCAAAACCCCCAACACACCTTTGTTTCTCTCCTACAAGCATGTTAGGATGCAGGATAACAGCATACCTGAGCCTGAGCTGAGAACATCAGTAGCTGCAGGCTCTGCTTCGACTCCACAGTAAATCAATACCTGTGGGGGGGGGGGGGGGGGAGAGACACTCGCCCTCGAGTCGATTAGCAATATTCATTGTCACCAATTTGCCCGGCAGAGAAAAATATCAGAATTCCATATTTAACTATTTAAACATAACTCAGGGCTGTGCGTGTTGAAAGTCCACAGAATGGTAACAACAACAACAACAGATAACTCTAATCAGATGCTATCTAAAAATACTTTTTGTACTCCTCTTCATGTCTCTGTTCCTTCCCTCACTCTATCCCTCTCTAGAAAACGGTCCAATGTAGAACAGGTTGTAAAGCTGACAACCCTTTCTAAGCCATGAATAAATGGCTCTAACTAAAGTGCAAAATCATGTTCTTTTGCTCATTAAATGTAACATGACTCAAAAGATACCTTGCATTTTGCAGCTGGATCTGTGTAGTGAGCTATTAACGCTCCTGTCCCCGGGGTGTTCTCACTGCACATCTCTGGAAGTGGAAACTGGGTTGACTCTGCCCTGAATAGTTTGTCATGACACATGCCTTCCAATAAATAAACACTGTGCCAGTACTTTGGCTATCAATAACTGCAAAGTTGAACTTCGTTTTAATTTCCTGTGCACCAAAAGGTAACAGTTAAATGACTGTCTTCACTGGGGAAAACACACCCAGTGTTATTTTCTATTCCGATAGATCTTTATTTAGAATGTAGACGTTGTGTGTTTATTTTTGTGAGGCAAAAGGCAACACTGCAGACACTAGAAAGCTATCAACCTAGCCTGCTGTCAGTGAGATGTACTGTTACTTTGTCAAGCTGCCTCATACAGACTGCTCTATTTTGGAATGTTCAACACAGACCTCTTCTGCTGATAATGTGAAGCGACAATGCAGTACTGGTCACAAGAAAACTCTGTTCTAGATATATGTTTAAAATGATCCTGTCATTACTGTATCTGGTCAAAATAGCTGCCATCACTATACAAAACCATTATTACCAAATAAAAAACAGGATATACAATCAAATGAATTCTCTAAATCTTCCTGATATTTGAGAATCTGTCTACAATGCATTATAGCTGCATAATTTATCAAAAACAAACAGTCTTTCATTCGGTACGTTCAAATGTAAAGCATATGCTCAAACCACCTGATGAAGAGTTATTGTAAATGCTAAACTATGTTATATTACATTGATACACATACAGTGGGGCAAAAAAGTATTTAGTCAGCCACCAATTGTGCAAGTTCTCCCACTTAAAAAGATGAGAGGCCTGTAATTTTCCTCCTAGGTATACCTCAACTATGAGAGACAAAATGAGAAGAAAAAAATCCAGAAAATCACATTGTCTGAATTTATTTGCAAATTATGGTGGAAAATAAGTATTTGGTCACCTAAAAACAAACAAGATTTCTGGCTCTCACAGACCTGTAACTTCTTCTTTAAGAGCCTCCTCTGTCCTCCACTTGTTAACTGTATTAAGGGCACCTGTTTGAACTCGTTATCAGTATAAAAGACACCTGTCCACAACCTCAAACATTCACACTCCAAACTCCACTATGGCCAAGACCAAAGAGCTGTCAAAGGACACCAGAAACAAAATTGTAGACCTGCACCAGGCTGGGAAGACTGAATCTGCAATAGGTAAGCAGCTTGGTGTGAAGAAATCAACTGTGGGAGCAATTATTAGTCATATTAATTAATCATAAAAGACCACTGATAATCTCCCTCGATCTGGGGCTCCACGCAAGATCTCACCCCGTGGGGTCAAAATGATCACAAGAACGGTGAGCAAAAAATCCCAGAACCACACGGGGGGACCTAGTCACTGACCTGCAGAGAGCTGGGACCAAAGTAACAAAGGCTACCATCAGTAACACACTGCGCCGCCAGGGACTCAAANGCACGTTAACCCCGGATTACTCGACATCTTCTTGGTCATGTTCAGATTTTCAAGACACAGCGCACCGCCGAACCACTGTTGCAATGCTTTTGAAGAGAAGTGAGGCAGAATAATCCATATCCAAGCAGTAAAGTGAGGACAAACTGGGGGACAGAGTGATTTTGCGGGAGCTTCAATCAGGATGACAAATATTGAGAAGTTGTCCTTCTGAACATATATACAGTGGAGCAAAAAAGTATTTAGTCAGCCACCAATTGTGCAAGTTCTCCCACTAGGTACACTTCAACTATGAGAGACAGAATGGGGGAAAGAATCCAGGAAATCACATTGTAGGATTTTTAATGAATGAATTGGTAAATTCCTCGGTAAAATAAGTATTTGGTCACCTCAAAACAAACAAGATTTCTGGCTCTCACAGACCTGTAACTTCTTCTTTAAGAGCCTCCTCTGTCCTCCACTTGTTAACTGTATTAAGGGCACCTGTTTGAACTAGTTATCAGTATAAAAGACACCTGTCCACAACCTCAAACAGTCACACTCCAAACTCCACTATGGCCAAGACCAAAGAGCTGTCAAAGGACACCAGAAACAAAATTGTAGACCTGCACCAGGCTGGGAAGACTGAATCTGCAATAGGTAAGCAGCTTGGTGTGAAGAAATCAACTGTGGGAGCAATTATTAGAAAATGGAAGACATACAAGACCACTGATAATCTCCCTCGATCTGGGGCTCCACGCAAGATCTCACCCCGTGGGGTCAAAATGATCACAAGAACGGTGAGCAAAAATCCCAGAACCACACGGGGGGACCTAGTCAATGACCTGCAGAGAGCTGGGACCAAAGTAACCAAGGCTACCATCAGTAACACACTACGCCGCCAGGCACTCAAATCCTGCAGTGCCAGACGTGTCCCCCTGCTTAAGCCAGTACATGTCCAGGCCCGTCTGAAGTTTGCTAGAGAGCATTTAGATGATCCAGAAGAGGATTGGGAGAATGTCATATGGTCAGATGAAACCAAAATAGAACTTTTTGGTAAAAACTCAACTAGACGTGTTTGGAGGAGAAAGAATGCTGAGTTGCATCCAAAGAACACCATACCTACTGTGAAACATGGGGGTGGAAACATCATGCTTTGGGGATGTTTTTCTGCAAAGGGACCAGGACGACTGATCCGTGTAAAGGAAAGAATGAATGGGGCCATGTATCGTGAGATTTTGAGTGACAACCTCCTTCCATCAGCAAGGGCATTGAAGATGAAACGTGGCTGGGTCTTTCAGCATGACAATGATCCCAAACACACCGCCCGGGCAACGAAGGAGTGGCTTCGTAAGAAGCATTTCAAGGTCCTGGAGTGGCTTAGCCAGTCTCCAGATCTCAACCCCATAGAAAATCTTTGGAGGGAGTTGAAAGTCCGTGTTGCCCAGCGACAGCCCCAAAACATCACTGCTCTAGAGGAGATCTGCATGGAGGAATGGGCCAAAATACGAGCAACAGTGTGTGAAAACCTTGTGAAGACTTACAGAAAACATTTGACCTCTGTCATTGCCAACAAAGGGTATATAACTAAGTATTGAGATGAACTTTTGTTATTGACCAAATACTTATTTTACACCATAATTTGCAAATAAATTCTTTAAAAATCAGACAATGTGATTTTCTGGATTTCTTTTTTCTCATTTTGTCTCTCATAGTTGAGGTATACCTAGGATGAAAATTACAGGCCTCTCTCATCTTTTTAAGTGGGAGAACTTGCACAATTGCTGGCTGACTAAATACTTTTTTGCCCCACTGTATCATTAAGTCATTGACGTTGCTCATAAATGACGCATGATTCTTCTTTGCGCAAAGCCACTAATTTGACTTGATTTGACCTGCAATGCTCAACAAAATACATTTACTGATTTAATATCAACAACGTGAATAAACAAATCACTCGCACCCTAAAAAGGTGTCTGGATCCATATCGATACTACAGAAGGAATGTGACATCGGCATCAATGCCTGCAAGCAGAGTCTGCACTGCCATGGTCTTTATTACCATCTATTCTTCTCAATTGTTCTCAGCTGACTGAATGCCTAGTTATCTGAAAGCAATAGGACAATCGCAGTCCCCAATTTAAAATAAAGGCTTGACCTTCTGTACCCTTCATTTAGTCATGCACTCTGCCATTTTGCTAAAGTCATACAAACTTAAAGGAAAGGATAAATGGTTTTAAACATCAGCTTTTACAAGTTTCCCAAACTAAGCACAAACTGTTGACAGTGTTCTATGAAAAATAATTTGAGAGTAATATGAGGAGCTCATGTATTGTGATGGCTTTATTCAGAGAATGGAACCAAAAAAGCAAGTGCTGTTATATGATATGCGATTAGCCTGCAAAGTTATTTATTTTTTGGTTTGGTTTTGTCAGTCAGTTTGATGAAAGACTGTACACACAAAAGCTTTTACTGAGGAGATTTGTATGCAGGTTTATGTCAAATGTTTATGGAGCACACCCAGGATGAGTGTCAGTGTCTTTGTGCGTCATGTAATAATGAGTTTCACTGTGACTGACGTGTTTGGACGTGTATGCATGGCTACACTGTGTATGTGTATGGGGGAGGACATAACTAAGAGTGATCAGAGGGATATATACTAACAAGTCAATTAAAAAAAAGTCATATGTATAAATGATACTTGTTCATTTTAAGACTGGAGTAAATTTCATAAAGTGAATTTATGACTGAAAAACATTGAGGTCTGTCCTATTTTGGAGCTTGGACTTTAACTAGGTTAAAAATAGACATTCGACAATGCTTTGCGGTATGATCTATTTATAAACCACTGCGAAATGGGTTCTATTGGGAATCAACAGGAGGATGGCTCAGAGCATTACTGTCTGAGCAAAGTAGGAAGGTTACATACGATTAATGGATAACGTTTTATTTTGTTTAAAAAAAGGGAACATCGGTTCAATAATGTAACTTTCCCCATCAGAGTATGCTGATTTTTAGTAAGTCTTCTTCAACCCTAAGCAAGGTATATAATGAATACAAAAATCCAAATTGATTTTTCAGGCCTATGACTTTTTTTCGTATCAGCTCTTTTACTGATTTTCATCTTGATATTAATAGAAAACATATTTTATTATTCACAATGCGCTGTCTAGAATGTATGTAAACATGTTTTTGGTCCCTTCCTATAGCTAATTGATGTGACCATTTCCATCTTATTATGTAGTGCACTTAGTATTAAGTATTCATGCATTGGTCAATAAAACAACCTGACTCGCTTTAAATCCAGAAGCAAAAAAGTCCCCCCCCAGGTTTTGCACTCTTCGTTACTTTTAAGATGCAGACAAACCCTAAAATGTGGGCCTTGTTAATTGTTGGTAATTACATAAATTAGTGATATTTATGTAAATATTATTACATTACATTACATTGCATTTAGCTGACGCTTTTATCCAAAGCGACTTACAATAAGTGCGTTCGATAAACAAAGAACAGACTTGAAGAAAACAGAATCATATAAGTACATCAGGTTTCATAGAGCCAAACATTTCAAGTGCTACTCAACTGGCTTTAGATAAGCCAGTCCTTTATTAGTATACAAGTGCTTTGTTAGTAATTCTATCGCTCGAAGTGGAGTCGAAAGAGATGAGTTTTCAGTCTGCGCCGGAAGATGTGTAAGCTATCTGCTGTCCTGATTTCAATGGGGAGCTCATTCCACCATTTTGGAGCCAGGATAGCAAACCCACGTGTTTTTGCTGATGGGAACTTGGGTCCCCCTCGCAGTGCGGGTGCAGCTGTTTGGCTGATGCAGAGCGGAGTGTACGTGCTGGGGTGTACGGTTTAACCATGTCCTGGATGTAGGAAGGGCCAGATCCATTTGCAGCATGGTACGCAAGTACCATTGTCTTGGAGTGGATTCTAGCAGTTACCGGAAGCCAGTGAAGGGAGCGGAGGAGCGGCGTGGTGTGGGAGAATTTAGGAAGGTTGAAGACCAGACGAGCCGCTGCATTCTGGATGAGCTGCAGAGGTCGGATGGCACATGCAGGTAGACCAGCCAGGAGGGAGTTGCAGTAGTCTAAGCGTGAGATGACGAGAGCCTGGACCAGAACCTGCGCTGATTTCTGGGTCAGCTGGGGACATATCCTCCTGATGTTGTAAAGAGTGTATCTGTAGCAGCGGGTTGTAGCTGTGTTTGCCGGAAGGAAAAGCAGTTCAGTCTTGTCAAGGTTGAGCTTGAGGTGATGAGCAGACATCCACAGAGATGTCAGCTAGACAAGCAGAGATGCGTGCGACGACCTGGGTCTCTGAGCGGGGAAAGGACAGAATGAATTGGGTGTCGTCAGCGTAGCAGTGGTATGAAAAACCATGCGGGCTAATGACTGATCCGAGCGAGTTTGTGTACAAGGAGAAGAGGAGGGGACCAAGAACGGAGCCCTGAGGGACCCCTGTAGTTAATTGACAAAGGTCGGACTCGGACCCTCTCCAAGTTACCCTGTAGGTACGGTCTTTGAGGTATGAGGTGAGGAGGGAAAGTGCAGAGCCTGAAACTCCAAGTTCTTGGAGAGTGCGAAGGAGGATCTGATGATTCACAGTGTCGAATGCAGCAGACAGGTCCAAATTATGGGGAGGTTAAAGGAATATCACCACATATTTAAATATATGAACATTCTGTAACAGCTTATTTGCACTGGGATGTTGTTCTTTGTAAAATAAAATGTACTTAAATGATATATTTGATTTATTATACGTCATTATATTTTGTCCGGTAGGCAGGGATTGCAAGGAATTGTATCAATACAATCTATGCTGAGCATAAACTCAAGACAGATTAAAAAACATCCCACATTTACTGCCAAAACTTTCTTATTGATTGCTTTAATGCAAAAGTGACACTCCAATGACCTCCTGAGTACTGATACGAACACATTAATATGGAAGACAGATCTTTATAGTATAATTTACGCTAGGGGGCATAATTGATTGGACACATATGGACACGGTGTGCAGGAACCATTATAGCATTTTTTTACGTTTGGGGAAATAAACTGAACCCAATTTGAAATGGCAATTTATACTGTAGATGCAAGTTCCACCGACACACGATAACACCGGCTCAGAGGCAATTACCTCAAAAAGTCCACTGAGCTTCACAGAAGGTCAAGAGAAATAACAACCCGAAGAGGAACCTCAAAGACCCTCAAGGATTCAGAAGACACAATAATTCCCTGAGGACTTCTTTAATGAATTAAAGGACAAGCAAACAATTTTAACTAACAGAGACCTTTTCAGAACCACAAGACCAGGATGCAAACACGACTTAACTGTTGGGCTGAATTTCTACTAAATGATATGCTCTACATGTGTCTATTTCTTATCAAATCACACAGTCCGCTTGTTAATGCACCGGAAAAATGAATGTCAAATCCACTCTAAGCGGAGAAACTTTAGGCTTCACATCCTTATATAATCAGATTACAAGCTAGACTCTCTAAATTAGGCTGCACTGTGTTCAAAAATTAAAACTGAACCATCCACAATCATATAAAATAATAATTGTGTAGGAAGTGTCTCTTACTCCCACATCAAGTCAACCTTTGCTTCCCGACTCTCTGTCTCTCCCTCTATCAAGTTGTCACTCATTTTAACCTCACATTTCTCCTCTCTCGTCACTGCTCCCTGGCTCACCCAAATGCACCACATGTTCCCGCTCACTATATCCCATTCTTCCTCTCTGCTTCCCTTTTTACTTTACCACTTTTTGCCTTCCTGACTGTGTCATTTTTTCCTTCTCTCTTCTCTCTCATGCTTTTTGTCATCTTCTTTTTTCTTTCTGTTGTTTCGTTCTCCTTCCCTATCTCTGCCGTTCTCTCTTAGCTCCCTCTGTCTTCATTCCCCAGGGGGTATTATCTCAGTTGGAGGCAAATCTGCCCAATTATAAACCTCATCTCCTCTCTCTCTCTTACACACACATATTAGGCGCTCCTGCATCCATCGGCGCCCACACACACACACACAGAACGTCTCACACATAGACATAAGCATAAATACATTCACAGTAGCATAAAAACATCTCCCTATTTTGCTCTTCTTCACTGTCTATTTCATTTCCTCCCACACACACACACACACACACACACACACACACACACACACACACACACACACACACACACACACACACACACACATCACCTCCACCTCTCTCTGTCACACCTTAAAAAGCCAATTATACACGCTTCCTCCCTTCACCTTTTCTCTCCTCCTCTCCCTTTTACTCCTTTATTGCCACACTGATCCGGAAAGAACCATGACTAAAAGAAGGGGGGAAGATTGGAGGAGGAGAAGAAGGTACAAGAGGAGCCTAACATAGAGGATAGGGGAGAAAGGGAGAAGGGGAAAAGGAGAACAGAGGCATGGCAGAAGAGAAGATGATGGGGCAAGATGTGAGCTGGATTGAAAAAATGGAAAGAGGGGAGAGGAGAGGAAAGGAGAGGAAAGGAAGGAGAAGAAATGACAGGATAGAAGAGGACATGATAAAAGAGGAGAGGATAGAAGAGGACAGGATAGAAGAGGACAGGATAGAAGAGGATAGTATTGAGGAGAGGAGCGGAGCGTTAATTGCCCGGCCAGTATTAGTGCTGGGTTGACAGTTTCTTGTTGAGAGGAGAGCTGATTGGACGATAATGATACTGACTACTGAACCTCCCCACTGCTGACCCAATGGAAATAGAAGGAGAGGATTTTGGGGAGGCAGGGGTGCAGAGGAATGATGGATAGACAGAATGAGTCACACAATAAGTGAAAGAGACAGCCCTTAGTAGACATTTGAGTACAGCAAAACACACACACACATTTGTAAACGTTTTCTTGTAAATCTTTAATTGACTGCATTCATTCTCTAATGCTAGATCTAGGCTGCATCCCTACATTCCTAAGCCTTGTGCCTTACTATTCCTCCCTCCTAATCCTAAATTAGCTATTGGGTGATAAAACGGGCATAAAATGACCTGACTTCCTAAAAAACTTCCTCACTCCCAGAGGACACGCACCACAGATTTGATTCCCCCCCCTCTTTGCAATTGAAAATAAATTCTAATATTATTGAAATTCACCATAGCTGAAGGACAGAATACATTGCCTCATGCACCCAGAGACAGACAAATATCCAAGGTCGTTGACCAGAACAAGCTTTGTGGTGCTGTAGGACAGCAGGCTGGGGAAAACAAGATGTCAACAAGTACCATGACAGTAACTGATGCTAGCAGTGTAGAAACAATATAATGATACTGTGCAGTAGGGTCGATGACAGAAGAGCCTCTATTATAGGAATTGCTTATTTAACCAAGAAATAATATTACTAGTGTAAGAGAGTTTAATCCTCCCTTCTTCAAGCATATACTCTATGTAGAGATAATGTACCTTGTTGATATAGTGGCTCCAGGTCCAAGACGGTGTGTCCACTGAGATTACACAGCAAGGCCACTGCACTCTGGACATTCCCACTGGTGACGTTACTACTGTTAGCCTACAGAAAAGAGAAGCAAGAGATATTATAACAAGGTTAAATGTCAGCTAACAACAACAACTGTATATCTCATGATTCATACACACTTAAAGGTTTTCTATGTAGATGTTTGTCTTGGTCTAAATTCACATCTACGTTCTAATATTAAACATGTCAAAGCTTAAATTGGACCTATCATGCTAGATTTGAAAAATATATTGTAGGGCCATACCTATACAAAACATGTCTGTGAAGTTTTTTTCAAAATACCTAACACATCACCCATTGTAGCCATCCCTCATACTGCTCAAACCCCTCTTTGCAGCTCTGTTAGAGAAAGGCAGATTTTGGGTCCTTAGCTTGAAAAAAAGAAAGAAGAGGAGGCGGAGCTAATGCCTGATCAGAATCCTACAGGATATAAAGTAAAATTCTGCTGTGATAAAACGCCATCCTGTTTAAACCACGTCAAGGATTATTTCTGAAACAGTATGGAGCTCAAATGCTTTTTCTCTTGCAGGTTTATCACAAGGTGAGTTCTTTTTTCATTTCCTGCTTTTTAAAAACACATGTGCTCTACAGTACAGGTTAGCTCTAAGTGTTAGCGAAGCTTGCTAATGTAAACAAAGACGAGATTACGTCCAAAACACGCCAGGCATTGCTTCTGATAGCAACTTTCTGTGGGTCCGCCGACGTCACAGCGGATGGACACGTCACAGCGGATGGAAATCTGTATCCGCTCGTTGTACACCCGTTTTTAAAAGATTTGGGTACAGAGGAAAAGAGAGAGGGTTTTATTTTCTGACACTGCGTGAGTTCCCCGACGCACCGGGGACACATATTTATTTATAAAAGACATCACAAAGTGCATTTTGCATGATATATAATTTAAATATGCAGTGAACCTCCAAGCATTGTCAGCACCATTTATCTATAAAGCAATATTTGGTCATGTACTTGTGTAATTCTTCAAACTCACCTCACAATAAGCACCGTCTTATGTTACACAGCCGTAGCCTAATGACCAACTGATTATGGGATCTTATACAGAGTCATTTGCCACAGTACTGTGTTTTCATACAGGGTTCGGTGATACAGGGGACTTCTGCCCAGGCCTTTCATTGTTTATTAGAGAGATGGACACGGTGTGATGGACATGTCATCATTGCTGCAAATTTCTCCAAGGGTTGAACTACTGCAAACAACACTTCAGTTTTTCCAAAGTCTACCATTGAAGTAACATTATGAAACTATTTTACCTAAAAATAACAGCTTCAAAGTTACTTTGATGCTACACTGACTTGTAGTAGGGATAATGCTGTCTGTGTGTACCAATTTCACCACATTATTGCACTATAACTTTTTATGGGTCATATAATATCCAGAGAAACGTGCGTGAGGCTTGAAGGCACTCAGATCATTTTGGAGAAACTTGATCATTTTATCTGGATATAATATGTTCTGCTTTTCCCTATGATGTTTTCAGGCTGTTATGCTTAGACTTTTGGTGATTTACAGAGTTTTCTGATGGAAAACTTTATTCATTGCTAGCATTTTTGTTACAGCATCAGACCTGGGCACGCAGTCAACAGTCCCAACTTGAGCAGCCTATTTGGACATCATGGTTGGAACAAAGAAATTGAGGACGTTGAAGGAGGAAGTAAAGAAAAACAAAACTGACGAGAAAGAGGCCAGTAGCATGCTACCATGGTAATGCTCTGACTCTGTTTCAGAACATTAGGTCGCAATGCAAATGGAAAACTTACTATTTTCCTTTTCCATCAGTAAGTAAGACTAGATGGCCTGCAATGTCTCACTTATTGACTTACTTGATGTTTGGCAGTGCTAACCAATATATCGACTTGGTCGTTTTTTTATTATCACTAATGTAATCATAACAAATGCATGTTAGCTGTCCATATATACCACAGCAGTGTATAAGTGAATTGTATTCTGAAACTGTGGGGGCACTCAATCGCAGAAATACAGAAACATTATGTTGCTTAAAGACACATCTGTGAAACGGTTTGCCAGAAGCACAGTCCTATGCCAAAATGATCTCCACCTGGGAGATCATTTGATGTTTTTATCTGAGAATCATATTCTGCCAACTGTGAAAATTGTTACTGCAGCACAGGATCAAATTCATTCTCTTTATCAGAGGAGGGTTTACTTGTGACCTTTGATAATGAATTGGGTTTTAAGAGACAAAGGAGCAAGGCTGTAGTCTACACTTTCCTCCCACCCCTCTCATCAATTTCTCCCTTCTCCTCCTTCGCTTTTTGCCCTCCCTCTTCTTTTCTTTCTCCTCCTTGCAAAACCTTGTCTCTTTCCTCCTGCAGTAATCCACTTCTCCTTCTGTCTCCTGTCCTCATTTCACTATTTGATCCACTCGCAGACACACCAGCTCTGCCTGCGGGGTCTGTGCGCATCGGTGTGATCTGTGTACGGGCCGATAAGCCTGAATGGTACTCATCATGTGCAGTAGCCTGAGGCTGAAGGCAATGACATCAATTCACACCTAGGACAACCTGCCTGTCAGTGACAACAAATGACTCATTTATTTTGATCTCTATGGACTAATGAGCCGTGAAAGGACTATCGTGTTCATCCCTGAAAGCGTAAACGTGACAGGGATCAACGAGGAAACCAAAGCGAATTTTAACTTAGTGACTCATGGTCCAGCACCTTTACTCAGAGAGCATTGAGCATGTTTTGGTGGTGGATCTACAGAATGTACTGTAAAAGTCAGGCAGGATTTGTAAAAGTATTTAACTGCAACCCACTGTGATGAGTCTCTGCCTCCTCAGGCACGACAACCAAACAGTCAGAGAAACATGGGCGTTCCGGTTTCCTGACATCCTTTCATGTCTGGAGTAGAAACTACTTTATCATGTAGACAAATACAATTAGGTGAGTTTCTCCATGACAAGTGTGATCGCCAGTGGCAGGTGTAATCAATCCACATCACAGAGTTTCAGGCAGCATAAATCAATCCAAGGTGAGCTTTACAGACGGCACTAATGGATCCTGACATGACCAGTTCAGACGGGAGTAAACAATCAGGAGAGGAGTTAATCAGGCTGTTGGATTACAGTGTTTAACATTCTGCATCAGCTATTCAGGGCTGGACAGGCAGCCATGCAGAACACTGATTATTTAGAGTTTGTGTGTGCGTGCGTGCGTGTGTGTGTGTGTGTGTAAACTGAAATTGTTTGCTGCAGTACAAGTGTTTCGGTTCGCTGAAAACAGATCGCACTGCTTCTGTGTTCATTAGATTGTGCGTATGCAAAAAGGGTCAGGTGAAATAAATTGTTTACTGGAAACGTTGTTATGCTTGGCTGATAACAGGCAAGTGCTGCGTGTCTGCGTGCATGCGTGTATGTGGTATCTTAATAGTAGAGTCCAAATTCTCACTCTATTAACCCTTCCTGCTCTCTGTGGATGACCTGCCAGTCAATTACACCAGCCCTCTAATAGGTCAACACCACTCAAGACTCATTTACATAACTTGGTCTATAAGGGTTAGGTTGGAGCGGGTAAGAGAGGAAGGAGACAGAATACAATTGAGCTGTAATAAAATGCAAAGGAAAATTGCCAAAAAAGGAAACAGATGTGATAACAGAGTTTGAATAGCTGATTGTAAGACTCGACTGATTGACTGACTGCATGACCAAGGGAATTGCTGATTGGCTGAGAATATAGATGAATTGATTCGGTGAAATTGGTCTCTTACCATAATGAGTTGAAATGCTGCTGGTAAGATCCTACTGTGTTTGATGAAGCTGAAAAGGGAAGAGAAAAATACACATTAATTGGAGCAGAGGTGGAAAAACGAGGGGCAAGACATTTATTTAATTTGGAGGCAATTCACTGCAATGTTCGTGCGCACACACTGGGCTGTTTCATCTTCATTAAGGATGGAGTTCCGCTACAACGACTGCTGCGTGGTGCCAGTGGAATTGGGGAGAAGAGAAATAAAAAGAGGAGAAGGGATGAGAACAGATAAAGTGAAAGGGGGTAAAAGAGGAAAGGAAAGGACATAGAAAGAGGAGATGAGAGTTAAGAGAACAGGGGAGAAGATTTAGGCAGAGAATAGATGTACAGTAGGACAGAAGAATGGATAGAAGTGAGAATAAAAGGAGATGTGGTTGAATCCTCATTGAAAAGAAAGAAAGGTGTGTGAGTAGAAGAAAGATGGCTGTCTATATTAGCAATGACATTCTGCCTACTTACTGATTAAGGTTCTTTGATTTGCAACCAATTACTGCGTGGTCGGAGACGTGTCAACCAATATACACACACCTGGCTTGTGTAGGAAAGCAAGAAAGCATTCAGACTGTAATGGGGACAAAGCAGGCTGAAGCAGACAAGTGTTAATATGCTGAAAGCCAGTCCACTGATTCAACAATCAGTCTCTTTATTTTAACTAGGAGTTATAGCTTGTCTGGCAGACGGAACTTATAATGATGTGATGTTCTTCAACGTTATCACAATGATGTTATCACAGGTTGGCTTTTTTTATAAAAGTTACATGTTCCATTACAATATCAGTTCAAGTCCTTCAAACCTTTTAAAGTGTCTTTCTACTCCTTTTTGCTTTTTTCAGATGCTTGCTTTATGTTTTATATGTGGGCTGAGATCCACTTTGCCTTTGACTGTTGTATCTGATTACTTTCGCTGTTGCCTGAAACCCACTTTTTACACAGAAATCAATACCAGTGTCATTTCATCTTAATGTGTTCTGAGAATATATTCCCCACACCATTACACCAACTTCTGAGTAAAACTATCAGCATCTGCCAAAGAAACTGCGATTCATTTGACCAAGTGCTAGTTTTCAGGGAGTCATATCAAATATTGAAGCAAAAGAAAACAGCTTCTACTTTAGAATTGTTTTATTAACAATTTTTTGGCGCTAGCCAGATACTGTATGTTATGTTGATGAGTCTTCATTTCTTTGTTTTACGCCTGATTCTTTAGTCGGACCATAACTGATCTGACAGTTTCCAAATGCATTAAAACATCTTCCTCCCTACTTCGTCCATCATCCATAAAGGGGACATTCAAGGCGAGCAAGTGGTCATGTTTATGACATTTCAATTTCTGCTGGCATAAAACCAAAGGAAAACGAACATCCAAGAGTGAAGAAGTAGGTCATTTTCACAAAAATGCCAACAAATAGTCTGAAGAGACCTGCACAGACAAATTCAAAGACAAGAGAGGGCCAATGCACATTCAAGGACGGGAAAGACATTTGGTTGTTTATGACCGAACTCTGATAATGCGATGTAATCTGTGTCATGTCATGCACGCTCTTTGCAAGCGCCAACCCCTTGCCTGAAGCAATGGAAGTATTTTCAGTAAGTGAGAATGCTTCTCACACGGACAATCTCCTGATGTGCGCTACATGTGTGAAAGGGATTGTGTCCAGACCTGATCTCCAGACAGGAGTTCATACAAGTAGACAGCATTAGCTTGTGTTTGTGGATGACGGATGGCCTCCCATTAGGAAGGTGACAGGCTGAGAGATGACAGGACAGGCCAGGCCAGCACGACATGATAAACTGGACCACTTTTAAACGACAAGCCATGTATCAACAGACACACTGCACAACACCAGACATTGAGCAACCCGTAGCACAACAGACCGCCTAAACCAAACCTCACATTAGAGACAACAATGAAGTTAGATTAACCTCTGCTGTCCTTGTCATATTATTCTCAGTGAGCTACACGTGTAGCTCTCTAAAGCTTTGTCTGTGATGATATTGAAAGAGAATAGTAGACCTTGCTATTTCAAGTGAAGAGATAAATGATCTTAGCATTTGGAAGTTTCAGTCACTACAACATTCTTTCCGAGAGCGTTGTCAAATGTTCCCAAATGACGCAAATTCATAAGTTTCTTTATAGTTTTAAGTATATTCTTTATAATTTTTGTAATATGTTGTCATGCATTTATTCACAACAGAAAGCAGCCCAGTAAAACAGTTTGTTGCATTTAAAGACTATGTGTGTGCAAACGACCACCTCCGTGTTTTAAACACATAATGATTCCACTTTCCTCTTGCTTAGAGAAACTTGGGTGTCCAAATCACTATGGTAATTTGATGAAGTCATGGTTTTGCAAGCTTTTAACTGATTAAAAAAAAGAAAATCACATGGGCAAGTAATGTGAGTTGTAGTGAATATTCCACAATCACAATACAATAGCAATCCAATGTATTTTAGAGAAAATATAAGTTGATACTTGGTTGATTCAGCATGGCATGTGTGAAAAGGCCACATCCACACATTTGGTACAAAGACAGACAGTATGTATGGGGACTTTAAAACATACTTGAACACACACACACACACACACACACACACACACACACACACACACACACACACACACACACACACACACACACACACACACACACACACACACACTTTGGCTAAAGGTCACAGTAAATGTAGTTGTTTGAAGGTGTGTCTGGGCTGTGATAATGCAGAGAGAAACAGCAGGCTGCCTTCACAACGCTAATGTCCCCAATTTACCATCTAATTACCGCTCGGCTGGCTTCATAGCCACACTTATCTAACCAAGACCCAGGCAATTTAATTTCTGATTGTATAACCGCGGGGTGATGGAGGGAGAGTTGTGGAGAGAGGGCACAGGGAAAGAGAGAAACGAGGACTAATGTTCATAAATTACAGATGGTGCGAGAAAGAACGAGGGAGGAAGAGGGAGAATGTGAAATATTGTTAATAATGTCAGAGGGAAATGAGTGAGAGAAAACAGAGATGTAGAGAGGAGAGTGCTGACACCAATTTGAAAAGTTCACGTCACTCGACTTCTGTCAAGGAAATAAGGGAATGAGGAGAGGTGGAGGAAGGGAAGGATGGAGACGAGATGGGCGGAACATTACTGATAAGAGAAGTAGGGGCGAATTCAGATATAAGGGTGACCTTTGAACCCAAGGATGGTGTGAAGAGATGGAGGGGAAGTGGAATTATAGTGATAAGAGGTTTGTTGAGTTAGTAATGCTGAAGTAGATAAAATAAGTGGATGGAAGAGGGGACAAAATGAAGGGGAAGGACGAAACAGAAGGTTAACTATCAAGGTTGAAAATGAATACTTAGTAATGAACGATTAATATAGAAGTGTCGATAAAACGGCACCGTTGTCCGTGCTTCTTAAGCGCTAGGAAGTGATGATGTTGATTCACACTTCATACTATTCAATACTCGTCTTTCACCTTTTGTTAACATTTTCTCTCCTTCCCAACTGAATCTCCTTGTCTATTTATTTCTTACTTTCTTCATCTATCCTTACTCCCAAGCATACATTCACTTCTCTCTTTCTCTATGCCCCCGTTTTTACCCTCACCTTCCTTGTCAGTCAAAAGCTAAAATAGAAGCCAGATGACCAGAGAATCAAGATGTACTGACAGCTGCTGTTAGAACACATCTATCAGACCCACGTAGATCAATGCAAGCACCAGTAAGACGCATGCCCACACGCACATTTGCACACACAGGCGGACCATCTCATGGTTAGAATAAGGATCAGCAGATTCTCTGTGCAACCAAACCAGAAAACCCATCAACTGACTGCTTCCCCAAGACATGTTTTTTGAATTCATGTATAGCAACATTACTTTGACGCTATGCGGTAGTGGATTTTATGCCAGCAATAATTATGGTTGTTGATCTAAAGATAGTGTGCAAAGAAGTATCAACACAATATGTCACATCTCAAAGGATACAGCACTTTATGCGTGCAGCTAAACCCATTACTCAAGTAGAAAACACTGGCCTCAAGATGGGATGAAAATGTGTTTGTGCATGAATCCATGTGTCTGCCTGTGCGTCGTTGTGAATACAATTCAGTGAGTAATGGTTTACACAGCTGAACTGGGAATAACCGGCCTTGGCATTAAAAAATTACAAGTGCCTAAAATGTGGCTGTGTGTGTGCGCCTGCCAGGACTGCAACACACTTTTAAATGACCACAGCTCAGTCTTGGCCAGAACCAGAAGAGTCAAAAATATCTCAAGTTTACAAAAACATTTTCACAAAAGTTCAGTTACTATAAGAAAGAATAAAGTATGTTAAAGCGGCCCTATTTTCCTTATTGTCCAGTTTAATATTTGTATTTTATTTCATATTTGCCCGATTGGTTATATGGCCTGCTCTGTTGTGATTGGTGAACCGCTTAGTGATGCCCCGCACCTAAACATATGCTCATTCCGCACACATTGCGTTGCAATGCGTTTAACATCATTCAAAGTAACTGCAGAGAAACAAACGATGTGGCGCGAATGATGACATTGGCGAGATTCGCATCATTTGCGAGAGTCAAAAGCCAATCAGCTTTGAGAATCTCTGACTGATATCACTGATCGTGAATCAGAAAACCAAAACAGGAGCCGTTGGCTCTGGGCAACGGCACACGGCTCCTTATATCTGTTCAGAAACTGGAGAAAAGTTATAAATGACTGTCTGGCATGGCAAATACAGTCTCTTGTATATTTATGTCTGTCTGGAATTGCTGTGAGTGTGGACAGAGCAGCTTCAACGGTAGCTTAGCCGGATCGATCCGATCTCCATTAAAAAAACACGCATTTTAAATGTTTTTCGACTGTCGTCTTGTAAGCACATTTCAAAGCATTAATTCATGGTTTCTACTGACCGCTATCATTATGTAGTTATTTCTGCCCCATTTTGAAACGTGTATTACAATTAAATCACCGTAAAATGTGTTCATTTTTGTTGTTATCTACCATAGTATCTACATATAGATAAGCCCTGCATCATCGCCAGTACGTCTTGTTTGAGTGTGAGTGTGTGTGTGTGTGTGTGTGTGTGTGTGTGTGTGTGTGTGTGTGTGTGTGTGTGTGTGTGTGTGTGTGTGTGTGTGTGTGTGTGTGTGTGTGTGTGTGTGTGTGTGTGTGTGCAGTACCTGCATATGTGCGTGCTGTGTTCAGTCATCGATACCAGCAGTTTGAGTGCGTAGAGTGGGATAGGCTCTGCTGCTCGAAGAAGAGTCTCGTACCTACACAAACACGCATGAGAACAACATTTGGCTTTCATGGTGTAAATAATAAATGTACTGTTCTAATCATTAGTAACTGAGTGGAAACTGGAAACGCTCTGGAGAGAGGGATGGGGAGGAGGGGGAGGGTAGAAGTGGAGTTACAATAGGAGACGAGGAGAGAAAAAAGACATATGGGAAGAGGAGAAGAGGAGAGAAGTTGAGAGGCAAGAGGAGAGATGCGAGTGTGAGAAGGAGAAATGAAATAAAGGTGAACAAAAGGTAACACATGAGGCAACACTGAGAAAGAGTCACGCTTAAAAAAAGGGAAGATATGAATAGTAATGGTATAGGAGGAGACTGTATAGCTCAACATAGAGGGTTGGAAGTAAAGTGAGAGAAACGTAGCACAAATGTCAACTTCTATTTTCCATTTTTGTTACTCTGTCATGAACTTCTACAAACTGCTCTCAGCCGAATGCACTGTTGTTTGAGGCTTACACTCGTAAAAAAAATGCTTTTCAATGTGTTTGACAATTAAAAGGATGTGATATGAACGATGATATGATATGATGGAAGGACACTAGTATTCATAACAAGATTGTAACTCCCCCAAAATATCAGTTATTCATCAGAAAGATGGTTGGATAGTATTTCCTTGAAAGAGTGCTAGCTGCTTAAGCATAGGACAAGGTAGGACTTGAAACAGGGGTTAAAGGAAGTGTTGTTTTAATATCGAGAAACATATTCAATAACAATACCACTGACATCAAATGATTTTGATTTTGGTCTTTTGGACTTATTCCTAAAGTATCAACATCTGATTGGTTACCTTGTATTGATGTTAAGCTGCCATTTAAAAAACCTACAATGCTTTTTTGTTCTTACAGAAACAAAATGGAGGGACGGAGAGATACAGTGACAGTATAAAAGAGATTTTTAGAAAGAGTCTGACAAACCTTGGAAGCAGGGATTTAGTGACCAGAGCAAAGAATTGATTATAGGAGCTTCCAGCATGATTTCCTCTTTCCTCTGTTCCTTTTTGCTTTTTCTCTGTCTCCTCCTCTCCTTCTGTTCCATCCCTCCCCTGGACCAGCAGGACAAGACTGAGTTCGGAGAGCACCCTCAAAACAAACACAGACCACTCCACTGGAGCACACACGGAGAAAGATATTATTCACATGGAATAAAGAAGTGTTTAGAACAACGATAAATTACACGTCAAACAAGTCAAATGGGAAAGTCTGTATACATATTCATTACGATATAGAGTAGTTATATATACATTCTTACATTCAGAGCATAACTCAATATTGTACGCTCTTTAATATTAAACTAAATAGTGTGGCATGAGACACTGGCAGTAGAGTGGTTTGTGCATTAACCATTCTGACTAATGCCCCTATCTCTTATTTCCTACTCTTTCCAATTTGCCATTTCCTCTGTTCACTTTTCTTCCTCCCTCTCTCTGACATTTGCTTCAATTTCCACATCTTTTCACTCTCTCTATTCTCTCTCCCCTGTCCAAAATGCCCTTCCATCTCTCTTACCATTTCTGCTGAAAGCCAGTGTTGTCAGAGGAGGCAGGATGGCATCCACAACCTTCAAGAGAGGTAAATAGACAGACACATATTTGTTTACACCTGTAACACAGCATTGCGACCAGGAAGCCTTGTAAAAAGCTGATTACTCAGTGGCAAAACAATCTTAGGATTTTGCACAATTATTATGTTGTGTTAAATAAGTTCATCTGCAGATAATGTCTGTGCAACGGACATGAAAAAACTCAGGCCAAAACTGGGTGAAATACTGTAGCAGCAGAAATAAACTTTAGAAACTCACTGCTGAACAGAATCTAAATATATATTAGCAACAGTTCAATATTGTCCTGTGTCCTTTCATTGAAGGGGGGAGAGCAATTTCCGCCTTTCCACTGAAAAACTACTTAATATACGGCACATCTGAAAACAGGACGTCTTTTTTGATTAAACTGAATAAAAGACACTTCACTGTATTAATTCAGTGGGCATCGTCCACACAGACCACACACAGAGGATCACATTACCATGGAAATGCAATGTTGTATGATCCATTTAAAACACACACACACACACAAACGTGCATACACACAAACACATAAATGAACTTTCTCAATTCCTAATATAGACATGTATCTGTATTGCATGAATTTGCATGATTACTTATATTACCATAGAAACAACACTAATGCTGAGTGAGAGGTCATTTCATTGAAAGCCAGAGCGAGGAAACTACAAAGGATGTTGTCCACCACTTAATGATGTGTATTAATATAACAACCATCAAAAGACTGTGTGTGTGTGTGTGTGTGTGTGTGTGTGTGTGTGTGTGTGTGTGTGTGTGTGTGTGTGTGTGTGTGTGTGTGTGTGTGACATGTCTGAAATCCTTTCTTGTCCCCATTTTATGTTTTAGCTCTCTTACCAAGTCACCTAGTAACCTCATCTACCTATTTTACATGCACAAAAGCTGCCAAAGAAGACCGTATTCACTGCAGTCAATACAACCATAGTTTGATTCTTTTTCCAATATACCTGCTGTGCTGAAGCTACTGTTTACCATTCATTCAACAACACATATGCTATGGTTAGCATGCAGCTCCTAAAAAGAGACAGAAGTGTATGAAGATGCTCAGTATTTATTGGCCTTACTAGAAGGCTGAATGATTGATAATGCCGCAAACAACACTAAAAAGAGGATGGTGGTTTACCCAAAGCAACAAATTGAAATATTATTGATCAACGTTGTTAATCAACTCAATTTGATATTGTTTAAGAGTAATGCAAATGCAACCACTGGACAGCTTGTAGCCCCTACATTAATTTGACTATCAACTGGGACACTCAGTTAATTGCTCTCCATCACTACTTGATATAATTTGGCAGTGCTTACATAGCTAAAATGTTTAACTTTTTAAGATGACTAAAGCACAAATAAAGTTCTGGTTCTGTTGGCCAACTTTCCTGCAAACTTTACTTTGTATTAAGTATTCTAAGAGGTAAAGTAACTCAAACAGCACTGTGTGTCCTTGCCCAGCGGGCATTACAAGTTAATCTGAGCTGGCTGTCGGTAATTAAAGTGTCTTCCTGTGTTATTGACTATCAGTAGCAGCAAACCTCCTCTCTGCTCCTATTCTCTATTCCTCATCTCTTTTATTTTATTTCTCCCCATCCTGTCTGCTTCCTGCTGCTTTCTACTTCAATATGTCAATATTCTTCGTCCTATCGCATGCACATTCACGTACGTGCACACACACACACACTCTTAGACACGTTTAGAATGAGGCTCCGTTGGTTCAATAGTTGATTAGTGTCTTGCCTAATAGCACACAAGGAGACCCTCTGTCCTCTGACCACTAATAGCCAGGTTTGATACACTGGAAGATACGTGCTGAATATAAAACCTGGGGCACTATATGAAATGGACAAATACTGGCGATATTAATAAAGACTCTTAAACCTGACCATTCTTATTGGCCTCACTTTTTCTGTGCAAGCTGTCTTATAAAAGCAAAGCAATGTATTACTTGTGTTTTTCTAAAGTAGTAAACAATAAAAAATGGATAGTAGAAATCTGATGGTTGCGGGATAATGACTGTTCGTGTCATCCTTTATTTCTTTAATAAAGTCTCTGCACACAGTCAGTCAGACAGAAAGAGAGGTATCCACACACACACACACACACACACACACACACACACACACACACACACACACACACACACACACACACACAGTCAGGGCTGAAGCAGGTAGACAGGCAGGAAGCAAGTTGCATATTTGATTGCATGCATACTTACAACAGCAGAATGATGTGGAGTGATCAGAGCATGGTGCTGACTCAGGACTTCCACAATGGACAGAGATGTCCTAATCAACTCCTCACATACAGCTACGCCTGAACAGAGAATTGAACATCATTCTGAACCATCTGCTTCATAATAAAGGGGGATGACCCAGTGCGGAGGGTGGTTGATATTCAGCTTCTCCAGGAGAGTGAACTATGGATGACCCTGCACTCCGCAACTCACCTTGTGCATACGCTTTAGAACTCATGCCATCTGTATCTCCAAGGCTTAACTTCTCTTACATATTGATATTTTTCATCTTATGTTCCAAAGACAACTTGTGAGTGTGTAAGTAGGGCCTTCACTGAACTTTAAGCTAAAGAAATATGTAATGTTGTTTTTACGACAAGCTGCTTTATTCAGTAAAATGTTGGTTCCAAAAGGGAAAAAAGGTAATAATGATCATTAAAGCATAACTTAATCCAGGAAACATGAAAATGGTTGCATAGTAATATAGTTTCATCAAAGTAAAAATATTGTAGACTCTTAACCGACATGCTAATTTAGTAATAGAGAAGCTAGCTTACCCAAAGAACTGGCCAGATTGGTTTCATTGGACTCTATGGAGGCGATATAGTTCTGTGAGAAAGAGAGAGGGTAGAAATGACTTTTTTCAGACATTTACTGATCATTATGTGCTGTTATTGGCTCCAACATGTCAAATGTGTCAAATGGAATAACTCTTGATTTCAGTGTTAAAACAATAAAAGATAAAGTCATGATGTCCTTATCTAACATAATACTAAAGAACCAGACACATACCAGCAGCAATCCAGTTTGAGTTATGAACTCTTCAGTTACAATTTGACATCGAAAGACCTGCAGGAGGACAGAGAGTCAGTCACACATGCAAACAGGGACGGGGTGAATAATAGGATGATAATGTGAAGAGCAGTAAAAAAGAAAAAGGTTCATTGTTTTTCTTTGAGTCTTTTGGAACCCAAACTGTGTAACAATGTGCAGTGCCACAGCACCTTCTTTAGCCAGGTGTATCTATCTAAACCAAGCACATCATCCCATATACTGTGTTTATTTACAGGCCCACATAACAAAACAACAGGTAAAACAGTATATTGACAATGCAATATTTTACTTTTTGAGACAAAATACTAGGTTTAACACTGAGGATGGGTACTGGTTATCTATGAGTAATTATACGTTGGTACTTTGCAGGCACTAAACATGAACATTACAATTAAACAATGAAGAAAACTCCTTTATGTCCAAGATACCTGCGATGAAAGAAGTTCCAGCACCACAGACATTGAAGGCAAAGTGGGTTTTAACTTCTTGCTCTGAGCTGTAGTTGGATGTCTCCTCCCGATCACACCTCGTAATGCACATAACACTTCCTCTGGAGAGAGAAAAGGAGACAAGACACAAAAGGAGACACAAAACAATGAGAGAAGAGGGACTTACTTTTTAATTATTTTTAAAATGAGAAAAATACATCTGAAAAAATGGATTTGTGAATGTTGAGTAAATTGATAGTAGTGTGTTTGTGTGTGTGTGTCTATACCCAGTATCAATGAGGCAGTGCTTCCTAGATATACAATCAGTAAATCCAGACACTGAGTGAGGTATCCTGATTGGATGGGGTTCTCTCTGAGGGGAGTGGCTTTGCGCAGGTCTCTCTCCAGGTGCAATACAAGCCTAGATAGAAAGACACACACACATAGCAAGTCACAGAATGCATAACGTGATGTTTAAACTCACATTTTAAGAACGCATCCTTTTTTTTGCCCTGTCATTGCGAGTTGCTCAGAAGTATTGATTTAATGTCCAGCGTGTAAAAATGATAAAGACACAATAATAATATGATTCTGGACAATGAGCTATAAAACGTCGACAGACAAAGGGCCAGGGAGATTGGTGGAGAGGGAGACGGACAGAAAAACCCTGAGTTCAAAAACATTTGTATTCTCGTCAGACTGCTTGTATTGAACAGTAATCAATAATATTCTATTCACAAATTCATAGCAGAGCGCAAAGGTTACCACTGCTAACTGATATTCATTACTGACACACAAACACACCCACACAGCCACAAAAAGCATAAATGCAGAGCAGACACATGCAGAGAGATTCGGCGAGGTCATATTAGTTAACAGATATTGATTCTAAGCTTCGGTGTGGGAATGGAGCAGGGGGAGTGAGGGATTACAAATTCAGTAGTGTTCCTCATAATGTTGCATAAAAGATTAGCAGCGACGGTTCACAGCTATATGAACTCCCACACAACCACTGCTACTACAGTATATTAAGGGTCCAATGAATGTTAGAGGCACTCAAAATAGTAATTACTGGATTCAAAGCTAAATCTAGTTGGTATCACCAAACACAGAGTCTCATTTATGAAAACAAGTTCTCCCAACAACACTTAAGGAGCATTTAAAAAAAGGTATTAAAACAATTAATAGGATAAAAAATGAAAACAACAAATAATGTTACAATTAGTTTTGATCAGAGAATGTTTTTTGTCATAACTGAAGTTAGCATGCAGAGATGTATCATTAGTGTTACAGGGTTTTGGTCATTTAATAATGTTGCCTGATCAAAATGTAAGGAATCACTAAAGTTATTACAATTCATCGTGAGTGTTTAAAACAAATGTCATGCCAGCATGTCCAGTAGCCCAAGGATAAATGTTTAAATTGTTATTTGGATATTCCCTCACGGTACCATGAACATCTGCACACAATGATATGGTCATCCATCCAGTAGTTGTTGAGATACTTCTATTCCAGACAGAGTTGCGGACTGACCATCCGTCACACACGTTGTCCTCCCTAGAGCCATGTGTCTTACAGTAGGCTTGGTTGTGTCTTGAGTACTATGTGATATGCCTGTTTCACAAATCATTTCTGCTGTATACAAACCTTTTAACACTTTAAAGCCTGTCAACCAAGGTTAATATAAAAGTAGGTTCATAAACACATGTTGTCTGACGCATAAATCGGTCTTCAACAACACAAAGTCAACATTATGTGAGGACCTCACCAACCTCAAATATAATGCAAGCTTTTTTTTCTAAGACTAAACTATTATGTCTTTGTAACTGTCTCTTTTTTACCTGCTATTCGCCTGCTTTTCTATCTATTTGTATGCTAGAATTTTGCCTGTAAGTCTTCCAGACATTTTTGTTCCGATTGCTAAATAAAGAGAGACAAACTTGCCACCTCTTTGTCAGTCACTGTGGGACAAAGCACTCTCACACAACTAACCTACAAGTGGCCCACTCTTTGTGTGTGTGACAGTGTCTGTTGAAAGCCATCACACTCCACTCCCAACGGCAATCTTGACACTTTCTCAGCGAGACGGCCTGCACAACTTTATCTCATGCAGACAAAAACACATATACACACAGGAACACACATACATTTTCACGCCACTGAGGAGCTAATTAAACACAGCGTGCCTGGGTGAGAGCGGGCCTGAAAGACGTGCGCCTGTGTGTGGTTGAATCATGCAGAGCGCTCGGTGGGAGACAGACAGGCAGGTCAGCTCTGACAGCTCTAACACAGTGAACAGAGGGAGAGCAAGTGAGAGGAGAGAGAGAGAGTGTGAGTGTGAGTGAGAGAGAGACAAGCAGCTATTTTTTATTATTATTACCAGCTGAAATTAGGCATTCATTAAGCACAATGACATGTTCAAGGATACATACTTCTGTCGAGATTTCATATGAACCCGCTACATGCTCAATACTCAATTAGTTCTGTTTTTTATGATGGAATTAGGACGCAGCATTTACTCTTAACACTATAAAGTCTGAGAAGTGTAAAACAATTAAAACATTCAATGGCTTTTGTTACTTGGCAACATATGAAACTACATATATACTGACATATAGGTTTTGTTATTCAGTGAGTCAAAGGTGTTACCAGGTTGGCACCTTGGTGACTTAAAATCATTCCTAAGACACAAACATCATTCATAAACCATTTGTTATGAAAACAAGCATAACTCAACCTTATTCTTTCATGGAAAAAATGGACAGTTCACACATATCAAATGTCAGAAAGGTATTGCTGTCAAAGAAATAAAGAATCTCAGACAAAGAGAGAATAAGTGAGAAGCATTTCAATAAAAGAGATAACATACTTAGCAAGAAAAAGAGAATGGGAGAAGAGAGTGCAATAAGAGAGACAGTTCTGAGGATTCATATGTCAGTAATCTGGAGCATCTTGTTCAAACAGCAATACCAACTGGTCATAAATTACATGGGGAATTGTCTCTGTATATATACTGTATATATATTAATATTATGCATATGCATCTGATCATGGGGGCTAAGAACATTCAGAGCTGCATTTCAAGTTGGCGTGGGGTGAAACACAGGACAACCAGCTAATAAACCATTTGAAGTTCCTGTAAAGTTACAACATACAGCAGAACAAACTGAATGAACAGGGTACATACATTTATATTATCATTCCCACGGCTGCTGTGCTAGTTAACGCAAAGGTTACGGAGAGTACAACTGCCTTGCCAACAGCCCCCGGCAGCGCTTTTTATGAAGGGAGCCTCCCTTCTCAAAGCAGTCTGCTTTAAATACCAGACAACTGTGTTGAAAAGCAATTCCTGAGTGCTTGTATCAGAATGTGGGAGGGATGTTTTAAGAAAAAGCACTCCACTTAATGCATGGCCACGTTTCTTGGTATTGTCCTAAATGTTTTTAACTCAATTCATTGTATAACAAGTCCATGCCAAGTCAATTGTAAAACTGCCAGTCTTGCATTTCAGTTTGGTAGGAATGAAACTGGTTAGAGAAAATCATGTCTTTAAGGGGCCCTATTATGCTTAGGTACAGGTTTCGTATTTGTATTTTGTGCCCGTCTTTATTTTTCTCATACTGCCGGTGCTTCAGCACCTCTTTTCACCCACTGTCAGAAACCAGAGCCTACTCTGCTCTGATTGGTTAGCTGGCCGGCTCTATCACGTATCACTAGACATATTGAAGGGATACAATCTCATAAAACCATTCATTACTAGGTCACAGTTAGTGACAAATTGTAAGCTACTTTTCTAGTTTGACAAACTGACATATGTAATCTGGCTATAAGCATATTTTAATTACATATTATTAGGGAAGAGACCTTGTCTATATGTATGAGTGAATGTGCAGGCCTGCATGTGTGTGGGTGTAAGTGAGTATTTACCTGTGCTGACAGCAGAATAGAAGCGTGTGTGTGTTGTCCTGTATCAGTAGCAGTAGCAGTAGTAATGCTTTGGCTCTTGTTACTGTGGATGGACTCTCTAGACAGCGTAGCACCTTCAACACCAAATCCTGCAAGACACAAACGCACAAACGAATAAAGCTGAACTGACAGGTTGTGTATGTTTCTGCTGCTGAACAGTCAAGTCAAGTTGTATATATGCAGTGTATATGCTTACAAGCCCAAGATGTTTGCATGGGAACATCGCATCCACAAAGGTTGAGTGTGAAGAGAAAACATGTTTGCACACTGTTCACAGCACTATGTTCTCAGGGTATCACATCATAAGATATTACTGCAATGTCTCCAAATCATGTATGCAAAGAAATAAGAATGCAACATTTTCCCTGAGGTGTTCAAAATAAATCTGAAAATGCTTCGACTAACTGGCTAAAACTTAATCAGCTCAGACTCCATTATCACACAACATGCGCACACACAACACAAATACACACAAAACAAACTTGTATGCCCACAGCTACTCCAGACATCCATTCACTCAGCATAAACTCTGCGGCAGTAACTGGTTGGGAAAATGTGCGACTGGCCAACATTCATTACCATTATCACCAACACCATACGCTTCTGACTGTGTGCATGTGTGAGAGAACGTGCATGCATGTGTGTTTATGTGGTTGCACACCAACTTAATTAATTTCAAAGCCCCGTAGTGTGTGCCTAGCTGATAAGTCCCTCCCCACTACCCATAATGCTTTGCTGAAGTAGAAGGCTGCAGCTCGTTAATTCAGCCAATTAGCCCAGATACTGACACACTCTGCAAATTAGTGTATGTGCATGCACACACACATACACACACACACACACAGACACACAGACACACACAGACACACAGACAGAGTTCTGTGTAAACAAACTCTTGGACTGTCTGTCTTTGTGCCAGGGGAAGGAGAGAGGAGCGATGGGGGGGTTGGAGAGATGGGGGGGTGAATGCATATCAGTGTATAATTAGAGCAGAGTTGATGTACTAACTTTGTATGCTGGTGTTAAATTGGAAATGCTCAATGCAAATAAATTCAGTTCTGAGTCAATTACCAATGCCAGACTCCAAGTGAAAAACCTTCAAATCAATTTTAGCCCGACTGCCTCACCAAGATTAGCACTACGTACGGTACTGTATACATACTAGATATGCTGCATTATGAACATTAAATAAGTAATTTATCACAAATTAGTTCACGCACAGTTCAGCAATAGTTCATGTACTGTGAGGAAAAAAAGAGAGGAAGACGTGAGTGAGTTGTTTCTCTTGTTGTGTTAAAATCTCCATATTTGTCACTTTCCTCTTTAACGTCTTTAAATAAATTGACTTGTGATGTTGCTACATACATTTCCAGTAGAATCTCTCCATAGCAATATCAATCAAACATAAGGGTAAAATTACGGTTGCTAGTGTTTAGGTTTTCTCAGTCCAGTTGATAAGTTATCTGCATGTTTCCATTTCACATTTTGCAGTATATTCTTACACTCTTATTCAGGTGTGCAAAGGCGTTTCTACGCACCGTGCTCTGTGTGACGCGGTGTGTTTGGATGGGTGAGGTGAGCAGGGCCGTGGCCATAGCAGTGAGCAGGTGCTGCTGGACCCTGGCCCCTGCTCCACCAACGCCCTCCAAGATGGCCGCAGGGCCACAGGTGTCAATCACTGCCAAGAAGACTGCTGGGAGCACCCGGGTTAGCCTTGAAAGAGCCTGGAGACAAAGAAAGACAGATGTAATGTATGCCATTCATGGATTGTGTTCCCATTTCACTCTAATGGTAATGCCTTAAAATAAGATGCATGTGTTTAATATTGAATAACATGGAGTGACAAATTACAACCTACTAATTAATTTTGTTTAAATCTATTGTTTTATTTACAACTTTGTTTATATGATTCACAATCGATGAATAGAGTATATCAATGCTGCTTGAAGGCTATGTTAATAGGTGTACATGTAGCCAATCTAGATATGTGGAGGGGAAAGCTTACATTTGTTTTGTCATTGTTTGTCATTTACCATGAGAAGGTCATCAATTGTTATTATTTGAGGTCGTTCAGGAGTGGCCCGACATAGAAATATTATAATACATCTAAAATCTATAAGAAGATGTTCAAGTATCAGGCATATTTGCCTGCTTTTCCTTTTCATAGTGCTTATAGGTCAAATATAGATGAAGTTTTGTGAATATGTTTTTTCTCCACAGTCACACATACATGATGAAATCTATAAGTGTGTGTTTTCATGCGTGTGAACTCACAGAGATAGCAGTGACTCTTACAGCCTCCACGGTGGAGTGAGTGAACAGGTACCACAGGGCAGAGCCTATCTCGGTAGTAGCCAGTTGGTGGGAGGAGCCAGAGACAGCACTGGCAATGTTCTCTATGGCTTTTGCAGCCATGTGATGAACTATGGGATCAGCCTGTAAGACAGACACAAACACAGAGCAAGCATATAAACAACGACCAACCAGGTATTTTGACAAGTACATTTTATTAACAGCAACAGATCCTTTAATTATTGGGATTTTGTCAATTAGAGCTGTCAAACACATTCAACACTTCTCAATGGCAGAGTATCTCTTAGCAAATGAATTAACAATGTGTAGTGTTTCATCACAATACATGATAAAGATGGCTGTAGTAAAGGTATTGTTAATACAAATTCCTGATTACACTTATAATAATATAACACAGCAAGAGCACTGTCCATGTACCTTCAGAACATTTGCTTTACAAATATTCAAACTATTTGAAAACTGAAACAAATCTTGTTTTCCTGGTGCAATGTAAGACAGATGTTTTAGGGGTCTATATAAATGTTAAGGATTTTATACCGTGAGCTGCTCAAAAACCTTGCAGCTCGAATCCAAAGTCCTCACACCAACAAAATGACACTGATGAGTCATGACCCTCCTTAGTATAGTTACCATGCATAGTAACTGTATCATGCAGACCAAAAGAACATCATGTATGTGCTGAAAAGCATCTGGCATTTACCCACAAGGCCAGTAGAAATACATAAGACTAGAACAGCCTAGTGGTGATGTCTTCTATTTGACTAATATTTGTAAAGATTAGCTTTCCTACTTGTATGTGATACAGTGTGCAAAAGCATCCCAATAGCAGAGCATAGCATGGAGGGTTGTGGATTGATTTTCTTGCATATAACGAAATGCCATTGTGAGCAAAACATTTTGCGGTTCACTTTTACAAGTTACAGACAGAAACAAATATTGAAAAATGTCACACACCAAAAGGCAGAAATGAACAAAGAACGTACGCAATCACAAACTGACAATTAGATTAGCTCCAAACACCACCTCGATACAAAAACGAGAGAAAGAGAGGTTGCGTGTGTGTTGGAGTTAGTGTGCAAGTGTTTGTGTATGTGTGTGTGTACTGTATGAGCCCACACCTTTGCCTGAGTAGGGAATAGTTGTTTGTGTTCAGACAATGGGGCCGGGCTAATGAAATCTCTGTGGCTGAGGAAATTAGTTTTTCCAGAAAAGTCATTGTTGAGAAAGACAGGAAGTAGAACAGAAGTGATTGCCTCTGTCAGGTTATTATTGTGTTTCACTGTGTTACATCACTTAGACGCCACTCTCCCTAGATATGAGATACAATAGTCTATTCACAAAACACATTTTGTGGCAAAGGTTCAGAATAACAGCTGAACACTAATTTCATCGTGGCAATTTATCATGGTAATTCTGAAAAGCGGTGCAGCTGAGTGATAATGACATTATTACACTATTTCATTGTTGCATATTCTACACATAACTGCACCAACTGTCACATGTTGAGATTATGCAATGTCTTTTTTTAAATCAAACTCACTCTTTGGAAATTGCCGATGCAAACGTTTTAGTTTTTTTCTTATCACACAAACGCAGCGGAATTCATCCCAAACAGGTTCACATTTTCCCAGGATCCACTTTTCTGTTGTCCAATCTGTTGGCACAGTATGTTTTCAACAGTCATAGATTGAGCTAAATATGACGGAATAAATAGCTTTTGTTTTGTATTATTACCCTCCTCAAAGATCTAGGTAGCAGGTCGATAATGTGATTAAGATGCTGGAATGGTTTAGAAAAGTGTTTACAAATAAAAACAATGTAATACACCTCAGTCATCATTATAGACATCCATGTCAGAGCAATCTGATTGTCAAGTCAAGTTTTAAACCTGGGAGTTTATCCTTAACAACCCATTTCAGATTCCATCTGCATCAACATATTCACTCTGAAATAAAAGCAAAATAATGTCCCTACCTGTGTCTAAAACAAGGTGAACGTTTTAAAAATAATTCTCTTATGGAGGAAAATGGAGCTCTGATCTTTTACAAATGCGTCAATGGTCAGGCTGTGATCCACACTTATTTTACATTTGATGTAAATGAAAGACAGCCTATTCATCCACATGGGAACCATAATGATGACTGAGAGCTAAAATAACCTACCTATTAATCCAATAGGACATTGTGCATTCAACACCAAGGGACTACGTAGGATGACAACATAATGAATCCTCTGGCACCCCTGCGGGAACCAGCAGAATGGACTGTTCCACGATTCCCCAGGCTAAGCGGGCCAGCTCACTAATGAGCCCACGGGGGAGCACCCACTGTCTATGTGTTTAATAGACTGTAGCCCTGCCAGGAGCTACACAGAAAGAGAAAGAGGGGGAGACTGGAGGAAGGAGAAAGAGGGAGAGCGATGCAGTGAGAGAGATATCCTTACATGTGGTGAGAAACAAGTAGCTCCAGCTCATGCAAGAAACTCCATCATTATGATGAAGAGAGAGACATGCAGGAGACCGAGGAAAGAGTGAGTTATTCTCGTTATAATTTCCCGCAGTATGAGCAACAAGTTCATCCAAGAAACACACTCATTGTGTTATACTCAGTGTCCTACTTAAACTTCACATCTCCAGAATGTCAACTAACTTAAAAGACGTTAAAGTATTTTTTGCAGCAGCTTCCCCAAAAACTTTGCTACAAGGTCATTGCAGTTTTCTTTTTCTTTGCAAGATTTGAATCTAAATACTGAGTCAGCTGTTATTTTGTAAACACAATTTAAATCATACGACCACAATCCTTTATCTCATAATACCACAACTCACCGGCAGCAGTCTGTATCCAATCGACAGACCAAATTAAAACATTCTAGGAGATGATGTTGCATTTAATTCAGTCTTTTTCCACCCATTAGTTTTTAAGTTGAATATTCAGATATCAAGGAGAACATGTTTGGATAATCAATCATTTGACAGACATCACTAACAAAGTGCCAGTATGTTTACATAATGCTACTTTTGTTGTTTTTAATGTGTCTGCCGTATGGCCATGATTTGCAACAACAATGATTTTGATACATTTTCATTTTTTGTGGAGGAAACCTGGAAAATGTGCTGTAATTGCTCTGGGATAAAACATAGTGGTTTTGATGGGTTTCAATGGGAACAGCTTTCTTCCTAAGGGTCTGAATGTATTATGGTATACATTTTATTATAGACTTTATATAGAAGCTTAGGTGGAATTCCCGCAAATTATTTAAAAAACAAAACAACTTCAATATTTTCCATAATGTCTGAACACAAACACATGATATGCATAATAAAGCCCAAATATGTCCTTTCAGTAAGGCACATGAGTTAAGACTAAAGAGATATAAAACTGTGGCAAATCATAGATTTTCTTGATTTGCCACTTGAAATTGGCATTGCTGAACAACCTTTAGTTTATCTTCCTCATGTATCCAGTTTACACAGGATTCCCATCTTTTTCATCAGGCTTCAACAGGACTAACTGGCCTCCTGGCAACTGGGCTGGAGTCAAAATCTCCCTTTTTCTGTAGCTCAGGGCTGACAGGTGAGATTTACAAACGTTGAAACCCTGGCTAAAAGAACATTGGGGAGAGATGAAAAGGCTAGGCGGACATGCAACAATAAAATCTTGTCTTCAAGTGTCCATCAGTGGATTAGTTTTATATCCAAACATGTTTGCACCTGGCCTCGGAGTCTAAAGTAGAAAGAGATCACATCACAAATACTACATCACATGACTTTGACGCAGGGTTTGTGTGTGCACGAGTGCGCGTGTTCACATGTCTGATGTGGTTTCCCTCTGTAATTAAAGTCCCTTAGAAGCCAGTGCACCTGGTTTTGAATGAGCCCCTATGGCAAAGACACAGACACCATCTATCAGCCTCACACAGAACATCTAACACCCCTAACAGCCACAGCCAAAGAGAGAGACAGCCTGTCTGATTAACAGGCTAGCAGACAGGCAGTGGGGCGTACAGGAAGAGGGAGGGACTAAACAACACAGCAGAAAAGAGCAACAAGTAGAGATGCAGATAGGCCAACGCAAAGAACACAGACAGAAAGACAGAGAAGCACATGTGAAACAGGTTAACCAGCAGACTGAGGAAACAAACAGATAAGAACAGAGATTCAGGTAGAAACAAACCGAAGGCAGAAGAGGAAAATAATGTGGCATGGAAAAAAGGACAGGCTAATATAAAAAGGAAAAAGAGGAAAGTTTGTTAAACAAATTAACAAAACAAAAAAGTAACTGTACATTATTATGTTATTTAATGTACACTTGTTGGAATGCGTGTTAAGGTGGGTGATGGTCATCTTATGAGACACAAGGGTAGGACCCATGACTGTCTCCGAGGGTCCCCCTCTGTTCTTCTCTCCTTTGTGGAAGATAGTAATAAATCATTAATAGGGTGTGTGTGTGATTTATGCCTCCTGGATCCTATCACTGTAATACTGTTCACACATCCTTTCTGCTGCACACACACACACACACACACACACACACACACACACACACACACACACACACACACACACACACACACACACACACACACACACACACACACACACACACACACACACACACACACACACACACACACACACACACACACTTTCAATCATAGGCAGCAGAAGCATCATCTTGTACAGACTCATAAATAATTTCCTGCAGCTCAAGTCTGGCCTGGAAAACCTGCCTTTCACTCCATGCCATCCACTCCCCCTCTCCAACTTCAACTCTCATGCTTTTTCTTCCTGACTCCCTGCCATCTCCTCTCCCTCTCCCACTGCACTGATCCTTTTCTCTCTCCCTCTCTGTCACTCTCTGCCATCCCCCACCCTCCCTCTCTCCACTGGTTAAACCACCACGCTTGCTCTGGCTCTGTGCCCCCCTAGTCGACCCTTACTTCAACTACAATGATCTCCATCCCACTCTCTAGTGCTTTACTTGTAAATCAGGAAAACTCTCAACAGCAGCGGAGGGGGCTGGGGTGATCCAGGGGGTCAGAAACCGCATCAAAATCAAACCGCCTGGAGCGCATTAGACAGGGTCTTGGCGCTGTATCTCAATGCTGTCATGTAAGGAACAGTGTGGCACTGGATTTACATTTAGCACATTAGCAAACAATCTCATTCACACTGCACACAAGAGACACCACTTCAACCAATATTAAGGTTACAGCTGGTCACCTATACAATCAGACAATATTTATTTATAAAAGGTTTTAACTAAGAGTAGCACACACATCGGATTTGTAGTTTATGCTCATGGACAATTTGAGAAATAATGATATTCAAGTGATATTTTCTCTGCTCCCAGAATTAAATCCACTATACTTTGTTGCAGTTCACACATATTTAATTTCCAAACCAAGGTCAAGGAAAACCAAGGGAGAAAATCAATGTTCCCGAATCTCAAATGGCTCAATCCAAGATTTGAATCATCTTTAAAGAGCAGTTAGCTTAAGTTAAAATATATTATTTAAAGCTGAACAAATCAATATTACTATATTTACAATGAATCAAATGAATCTTCTGGATGTTAAAAGGTGTTGCAATTTGTTATAAACATACAAACAATTGCCGCTTCTCAGCACAGCACTGTAAACTGTATTGGTATTATTTAATCTGGCATCTCACTGTTTTCCAATAGCAGCAAGAAGCTGAACCGGCTTGGCACCTCGCTGCAGACACATTTGATGGTAAAACACAGTCAAGCATTAAGCAACTTAAGAGCTGGATATTATGTTTCCCTTAGGAATTGGTGGGCTCCAAAATTGAGCTAAAATTGCAATGCGATCCAAAAGACTACATGTTAAGTGTGAATTTGATCAAATTCCAACATTAGCGGACTTCTCTTTTTTGTTTTGTTTTTTTATAATTTAATCAGGAAATAAAAACTGCAGAAAGGGGGCACAATGGGGTCTTAGTTCTCAATGGGATTGGCAGTACGAGCAGCCTTATGCCTTGGGCTATTTGTCAGCCTGGTTGAGAAAAATGATATTAATTCTCTGTCTATAACCCTCCCCCACTCTGTCTGTCTCTCATTAGATACTCAAGGGTGAGCAACCATATCTGCAGTCTTTCTGACCAGAAGTTCAACTTTGTATAACCTATGGCAGGATTATCCAGGCGGATCACAGCCTGAGTCCCTCATGTGTGCTGTCTTCTTACTGGCTCTGTCACCTTGTTTGGTTTAGCAGACATTTGATACAATCACTGCTAAATGTTGTTATTTCACACAACCCTGGATGTACTGCTTGTTATTAAAACATGCTATAATAAAATATATTATGCATTTCAGTTACAATGTTGTGAGCTAGAAATTACTCAAAATGTTTTAACATTAACAACTCATTGGCCCTGCTTTTTCTTTCCACCAATGTAGGACGAGTATATCTTTGGGTGGCATTGGCTCAGTCTCTAGGGACTTGACCTGGGAACCGAATTATTACCGGTTCGTCCCGATCGGACCAAAATAAATAGGTAGCTGGAAAGTTAAAAGTTCACCTCCTGGGCCCTGCCGAGGTGGCACTATTTGACGCCATCTCTGACATCGAAAGTGACCGGAACTGGGCCTGTGACAGTGGCAGTGACAGCGATGCTGAGGAAGATCTGACGTCAGAGCCCTCCAAGAACAGGTCAAGAGAGGAAGACGACGAGGAAGATGAGCCAAACAGCAAATAATTCAGAAACTAAAAGGTTTGCTGAAAGACATTTTACAGCTAGTTACAGTGACTGTAACACCATGTCTCCTGAAAGACGCTGTTTGATGTCATATTGTCTCTTTTCAAATACAATCAGTGAAAACTAAAATGCCAAAATCCGATGTATTCAGTATTGGACAGGTCTTGAGACATCGTACGGGGAAATGTTTGGTTTCACGAGTAGCGGGGCACAGAATAATCATGTGTTCTTCAACCAGAGACATTTTTTTATAAACATTTGTGTTGCACCTTAGGCACTAAAACACAAATTCAATTTTCAAGTTTAGATGTTCTGCCATTGTATTGGCATTTCTAATTTTCAGGGGACAGGGGACGGCAAAAAGCAGATTGCATTAACTTGCTTAACACAGCTGTCCATGTCTGTGAGTTGCACAGAGTTATTGATTTGTAGATCTTTGTGAAATAGGTAGTACATTGAATAGTTGCAGGGCAAGTGCTTCAAGTAGGTTGTACATTATTTCAGCCATTTATCATTTCAGTGCAATGTCAACTTGCATTGAACACAAAGGGAATAAGCTGCAATATGGCACTCAGGTATTTTAGTTTTATGTAGTTGAAAGAGCATCAGTAAAAAACTGCACTTAAAATGTCACTATCATTCATCATTTGAATTAAACAAGTATCTTTTGTATTTAAGCAGTATAATGAAAGCAGTAGAATGGCACAACCGAGTACACTTGTTAATTGCAAGTAATATTGTCATTTGATATAAAACAACGTTATTTTATATTTTCCTCCTATCGTTCGGTTGAGCCTCAGGTACTGTTGTTAGCAAGCTAAACACTAACATGGCAAAAAAAACAATGATAGCAACCATTCCTATGCTAAGTAATACATTGACTGGGATGAAGGATGGTTTGGTCGCCCCCCTGAGACATCAAGTTTTCCTATATTTCTAAAATGATTCACAAATGGCTATTCTGTATCAGCAATGATATAGTTATATCTCAACAGTTTGTATATATGGCTCTCTATAGACGTATAATACGCTATGGTATAGTGTGACCACCTTGTTAATTCCAGAAAATGCAACTCCCATGAGACACAGTTAGAATATTGAGACTGGTCTGTAATATAATAGCAAATACACAACAGGAACAACAGCCAGTCAGGGAGAGGGGAAAAGAGAGACAGGAAGGAGAGAGGAAGAGGGAGAGGAGGGGGGAAGGACAAATGGAAAAAGAGGGAGGCAGGTTGGGTCTGGGGATGAGTGTCTGGTCTCTAAGGCTGAGTGTGTGTGTGTGTGTGTGTGTGTGTGTGTGTGTGTGTGTGTGTGTGTGTGTGTGTGTGTGTGTGTGTGTGTGTGTGTGTGTGTGTTTTTCCGTCAGCCTTCTCTCACAGCTCAATAATGATAAGTAAGTCAACCTCCTTTCTCCTCCCCTCAACCCCGCTCCCTGCTCCCTGCTCCTGTCACACACTCACACACACCCCTGCTGTTCATCTCTCCCGCTGGTAATGAAGCAACAGTAGGTACTAGCTGACAACTGTGTAGACCAGAGTTTCATCTGTATTCATTCTGCTATGGTGGGCCGCAACAGGAAGACCACTTCTGCCTGTGACAGACAAAACAACATGCATCTTTCTCCGTCCCTCCCTCCACCTGTTCACTGTATCTATCAGTCTTACCACCCAACAGAATTGTTCTTATTCAGCTGCGTTAGTCCACTATGTAAGAACACGACAAAAGCTTTGTTATGGAATCACTTGGCTGTTTAACATGTGATACACAAATTAGAACAAGCACAACAAAAACTATGCAATCTTAAAAATATTTCTTGCACCTACATCTAATTAAGGAGGCACAGCATGTTGAGGTTAAGAAGCAGAGCATTCAAATCAAAATAAGACTAGGTTACGTTGAAATGTAAATATAAGCAGAATGAAGGGAAACATTTGAAGATAATTGTAATTAAAAGATGTAAAATAAACATGTGTAACTTCATGTCCGCCCTCTGATTGCAAAGAGGGCGGAGTCAGAATTGTCAAAAGCTTGATGCCAACATAGAACACAGTTTTATCACTGCAGACATATACTGTATGTCATTTTATAAAATAATGACAAACTAATATGAAATGGAAAGTATAATTAAATAGAAAAGGAGAGGATATAGAGAAGCGTTAAAAGAAATATAGCAGGTAAGCCAGCAACAGGGAAAGAGCGATCCATATTTCTGCTTGTGTTTCTGCTCCATCTACTGTGTATGTGTGTATCTGGAGGGTCCTAATTGCTGCTGAGGTCAGGCTGCTGAGCAGTAAAGGGCTGTGTTTGATGCAGGTAAGAGTGTGTGTGTGTGTGTGTGTGTGTGTGTGTGTGTGTGTGTGTGTGTGTGTGTGTGTGACTGCTCTGCATGCCCTTGACTTGCAGCTGGCAAACAACGCTTTAGGCCCCCACAGCTGC